CATGGAGACTGGCTTCCCGATGGGCGACGGCCCTAAGGAACATGAGGACCTACTCGAAGAATTCATCGTTGCCGCGGAGGCCGTCGTGGACATTACATCCGCTCAGGATGTAGTGAACAAGGTCTTCGATTAGTTTGTACTTAGGGTAAACTGGTGAACAAAGACTTTTATTCTTTCATGAATGTGTCTCAGTGCAATGCCCTTGTGTATGACTGTTTTTGTTTTTATTTCTTGCTCTGGAGGCGATACGTATAGTATCGGCTTTTATGTCTTTGAAGATTTTCATCTCTCAGATTTTCATTTTTTTGAACTAGAGGCGATATCCTTCTGGTACCGGCTATTAGAGCCGATGACTAAATGAACCGGCTATCAAGTGTTGATCAAATGATAGGATAACATCCCTTTAAATATTTTGTCGTAGAACTTTTCATACCAAAGGTTAAACGATTGATCAACCCAGGTCAAGCATCCCATTAAGCGAAACAAAACCTCCTTTAATAGATCTATCACTCATGATTCAACTTAGCGTTCATATACGTCGGCCTAAGCCCATTTCCAGGACCAGTGCTTATTCTTCCTTAATCCAATGGCCGACGTGAATCCGTGACTATTCACTAAAACAAACTCTCAGAGCCGATCGCTTGCATCGGTTGTTGGCTTTTATTGCTGATTTTAATGAAGCCTCCTTCCCACAACTTGCCAGAAAATCACTCGAAGTCTCCTAGTTCCCAGAAGACTGGATCGGCTATTGTGATGTTCACAGACTCATCAGCGTGAACCAGTTCGACATCATCTCTATGCCATTGAATCAAACACTGATGTATGGTCGATGGTACACAATAGTTCGCATGAATCCAATCATGACCAAGGAGTAAATTGTACGACCCTTTTCCACCAATGACGAAGAATGTGGTGAGCAGAGTCTTACTTCCGATTGTCAATTCGACATTTATTGCCCCCTGGGTCTTAGACGCATTACCCCCAAAGTCTTTAAGCATCATGTCGGTCTTAATCAGATCTCCTGGTCCCTTGCCAAGCTTATGAACTGATTCTTCATCATCTCGGTCACCTGATAGGGACAAGGAGAAGAAACAAACTCGATGGGCATCCTCAACTGATGCCTCGTCCAACTGCGTAAGATATCGACTGACATGTTCTATCATGCTTGTACTGTCTTAGCCAGTGAACCTAGCGAACTCTGGGAGCCTATAATTTGTGGGAAGAGCGACCAAATCATACCATTTTGGATATGGGCATTTGTACGAAAAGGTCAGCCCTTTTGGCTTCAGACCAAACTGATTCTTCATCATCTCGGTCACCTTTAGCAACAACTCATCAGCATATGAATTTGGATTTCTCTGCACCTGCTGACCCATCTGTGGATTGAAATCCCACGTGCCTTGATACCCTAGATTTGGAATCATGTGAAGGGTGTTATAATCTGTGTCATAATGATAACCTTGTGGAATCTCTATCTGTTGGGTCCTTTGCTGACTTGCTGCTTGAAGTCTCTGATTGTAGACATAAGGATCTATATCCTTACAGATGCTTTGAATTGACAGTGCTATTTTTTGAGCCGACGATGGTATGTGGCCTGATGTGCCAAAATTGATCACCTGGTTCTGACCTTACCCCACCGGCTGTTGCACATGTTTTACTGACAGTCTAGGATTATATTGTATCTGATTCATAGTAGTACCTTGAGCTTGTTCAGATGAACCCTGAACTGTCTGGACATCACCATTACCAGCTGGTGCTGCTTCTTGATGGCTGGTACCAACTTCATTAGTCCCTTGGGTCGATGGATCTGGAATATTGTAATAAGCTGGCCCAACTTGACCAACTAGAAACCCATTAATCGCTTCTTTCATGGCGTTGTGGAATGTGTCCAAGAAAGCTTTATTATGGCTTGACATGGCATCACGAACAGATTTGTCTACAATTTCCGTAAAGAAACACCTGTCTTCAGCTTCAACTATATCTGTCTGCCCGTGTAATAGAACTCTTGGTAGTGGAAATTTCTAAACAATTATGTTGTCACGTATTTTGGTGTAGGACAACAAACACTTATTCTAAAATTCTTCTATATCTTTGCTGATGACACCTTTATCTCCATTAGGTAGATCTTCATAATGTATCATAAGGATGTCATTGTTGTTGTGAACTGCCATGACGATTGTGGGGTCCCACCGAGCGTGCCAGAAACGTGTGTCAACACGGAAATTTTGTCCCGTGCCGAGGGCACACGAGCAAGCTGGAAGGGTCTGCTCGATGGAGCTGGAGATCCACCTAGCTTCGGCGTAGGGATGGTCGATCCTACGCACTCCTCTCGAGACGTGCCAGTCAATTTGACCCTACAATTGACGATGAGAGAAAGTTTATCAGTAATTTAGGGTGGAACATGCCGGTGTTGCTAGACAGTCCCGAATATGCGACTCTAAGAGTCGATATGAAAGGAGATCGACTAAATAGTCGATTCCAGCATACTCATAAGAATAAATCAGTTAAAGTCCATAGGATTGTGTAAGAAGAATCGGTTATCGTTCAGAATGAATATCATTATTTGTAAAAATATAGGTCAATGGCAAAAAGATGTCAACAATGATTAAACTATGCTAAGCCAATAACTGCGAGTAACCGAACCTCTTTTATAGAAGAAACAGCTCATCGTCATTCAACCATCTAATAAAGATAAATCTAATGAACATATTAGATCTCGTCTATCGCCATGACCAGTGGGGCATGAGGCAGAATCATGCGGGCCGTAGAAACAATAATAGATTTGACGACCCTAACTTATTACGAATATCAGTGGGGCATGAGGCAGAATCATGCAGGCCGTAATACAATAATAAAGATCATGGGGCTAACATATCTTTCAACCTATCTCTACTTCAACGATCTCATGACGTGAACTGTTCGTGAAAGCGCTCAATATCAGCTAAAACAGCCGATTTAGGCATAACGCACAGTTAAGGTCATGCCCTCTCAGGAACAGATCTACCAAATAATGATCCCCACACCACGGTGCTAACAATGGGGTGTGAGGCAGAATCACACAGGCCGTGATAACGGGCCATGGAACGGTTTTTGCTAGCCAATAGATCTACTCAAAATCAGATATGCCTTAACCGCACGCTATGCACGATCAAGATTGACGTGGAACAGCCGATAAAACATAACTCATTGTTTAAAGTGCATATTAGATCAATTTAGATTAACAAACGATGGGTTAAACAAGATATAAGTCCGATCTAGATTAATCCCAATCGGACGAAGTGATATAAGGCCAGGCTTTGATATTTATACTTGGGACCTACGCATGACTCCTATCTAAGCACGACTCATCACAATCTTTGACCCTAGAGAAAACATTCTTAATTTAAGATAACTTGGACTCTAATCTTTCCCTTTTTGTAGAGTCCAACATGTCTTGTCCCGGCGCCGATCGTAGCCTTTGTCGTTATCTGCTGGCGCTATCTGAAGAAAGCCGATTCTAGTTTTGCATTCGAATCAGCTGATACCGACCTGCACACGATTGATTCCTTGATGACATGATTTTAGGAGCTTTTAAGTCCCTGCGACTCTTCTTCCAAATTTTGGTGTAAACACATAGTCATGATGTCATGGTGATATCATCAAGCTAGCAGCAGAGGCAGAACAGAGCATGCGGCGGCCACGTCACAGCTGCGCTCGGCCAGCTCTCATCCCGGAGAGGCGGCGCAGGAGTTGCGCACGCACCTGGCCGGACCCGGGAGCCGGAGGGTGACCGAGCTGCTGAACCCGAAGCACATGTTGGCGACGTTAGGCCGGATTTGGGGTAGAGCCCAATCCGTCTCCATTGTAGCGAGGTTAGCGGCTCATCGCCGCTGATAGGCTGCTGCACGGTGGAGCGATGGCACCGACGTGCATTACAGCGCGCGGGGCTGCGGCGCGGCGGAGCATGAGCCACTCAGGTCCGCGGGCCTGCGAACTTGGCGTAGGGATGCGGGGGCCATGCAGACGGGCGGCCGCGCCGGGATCCACGGACAGGCTGTGCGACCCTCCCTCGTGTGCCAGCAAACCACCCGGCGCCACCGCTGCCCTCCTAGGACCTCCAGCGGCCTGTGGTAGAGGCGCAAAGCAGAACGACCCGGGCGCCGTTGAACCTCGAGTAGGGGAAGGGAAGACCACGACGCGACTCCCGCGAGACGAGGCTGGAGTCTGGAGGAAGATGGAGAACGGGTGGTGTTGGACGCCGTGATGGCGATTAATGTCTCGACCCTGAGAAGGCAATGGACTGAGTAGGGACGCCGCTCGGGAGTTGTGCTAGTTCCAAGCTCGACGTCTAGAGACCCACGATGGGCACGAGTGGCAACTGCAAGTAGATGGAGCGGCGGCGCAGGGGGCGGCGGTGGCCGAGGGGCAGTTGGCGTATGAGCCAGCGGGGCAGCAGTCCGAGGTGGGAGGGCCGAGGAGGGCGACCGAGCGAGTCGAGTGGGTTCGGGAGCATTCGTGATGGCCCGATTGTGGCTTAACGGGTAGGAGACTCGTGAAGATGCTGATCGGACGGTCGGCATTGCTGGTTCGCCAGATCGGACGGCCAGTGGGCTAACGGGCGACGTGGCCCTATCCGTTAACCCGCTTTTGGTGCAGAAATCGTAGATAGAGATCGTTCGCCATCTCAAAGATAAGAAAGACTCTGCTATTAGATTGGCCCAAGACTCTGCTATTAGATTGGCCCACTAGAAACGAGCCCAGAATGTCCAGCCCACTAGAAACATATGATCACTCATTTTCGTTTATTAAAGCTCAGCCCAATATTTCAGGGCCAGTCAGGCCTGCAAAGTGACCCATAAGTGGGCCAATAGTCCACTAACCAACCAATATTATGAACAGGAGGGCTCCGCACCATTCCATCAACCATCCGCCCTCAGATCAAACAATCCCCAAACGCCTCAGCAGCCTCCCTAGGGTTTTGCTCGCCGCGTCGGATCCAGCAGTTCGGGGGAGGATTCGCCATGGCGTCGCGTCCGTCGCTGAAGTCGAACCCCAAGGGCAAGGGCGGGAAGAAGGGCGCCGCCGCCGACGAGGACGCCACCGCGGCGGCGACCACGGTGCGGCTCGTGAAGGAGTGGACAACGTGGACGATGAAGAAGGCCAAGGTGGTGGCGCACTACGGCTTCATTCCGCTCGTCATCGTCATCGGCATGAACTCCGAGCCCAAGCCCTCCGTCTTCCAGCTCCTCTCCCCCGTCTGATGGGATGGGATCTCCCCGACAAGTCCGGCCCGGATGCGGTCGGTCCGTCCGTCTGCTTTTATAGTAGTTTGTAGCTGGTACTTGTTGCTTTGATATGTCCGAGATCGAGTTGAAGAAGGCGGCTCGTGCTTTCTGGGCGAATTTGAAGGCTTTTTCTATGATGATGATGGTTTAATAATTTCGTATTGGCGGATGTGTCTTTTATAGATCGGATCAAAATCTCTTGGTTATGTGATCTGCTATGAATATGAGGGTATGAACTATATCGGTTTTCATCTGTGTGTATCCTTTTTTTTTTTTTTTGTGCCTCTTGCTTGTGCTGATGTTTTGGATGGTTGTGGTCTTGTGGAATCTGACATCTGACTAGTCTACATATGTGATTCATAACTCGTTCATGTTCGCTGTGATTGTGAATTTTGGTTGCCTCACTTTCATATCAGAAAGAAAGCGTTCATAGCAGAAACTCTCATGTTCGCTGTGATTGTGAATTTTGGTTGCCTCACTTTCATATCAGAAAGAAAGCGTTCATAGCAGAAAGCGTAGGAGTATTCATTCATCATTTGAGTGTTCGTTCATAGCAGAAAGCGTAGGAGTATTCATTGATCATAATGAGTGTTCATTGATCACAATTGGCATTGCCAATTGCCAACAAGAGGTGATGGATGTTGCTCCCAGACACATGTTTTGATTTGTTTATTTGGGCAAATTCAAATCTCAAAACAAGTGTAACAAAATTTGCGACATATTTGCTACACGTAAGTTATGAGATGCACATGCAGACCGGTTCGGTTCGAAACTAGAACTTACAGTTCTTTGCTGTTACAGTTTATAGAAGAGTAGCAGCAAAAATTACGCCATTCTACTAGCAACTTTGATAGCAATGCACGGAAAATCCGCAATGCACTAACAGCCACAACATCAAATTATTGTTACTCTCAATGAGATGTCATGATAGTGCATTTGCTATTTTCTATAGAAACTGTCAAAATTAAGAGAACTTAACTGAGGCAACGATGACTGAACATGCGAGTATTTGTTAATGAGAATCAAAATGGAAGAAACATCTTTATTGATCATCTGTGCAAGAAATAAAGGTAAATAGCATACATGAAAGGGGGTGTTTGTGTGTTGTTTCTACATCCTTCAAGAAAAAGAAGGCCCTCCAGAAGAGACCAAGGCATCAAAACTAGTACAAATCCTAAATAACCCAGCTATTTATCTGGGTGACATGTAGTCATGTACAAATGCACAGTTCACCCAAATAATACAAATAAGATTTTCCTTCGCAAAACTCCAGTGCTCTCATGCTGAATCTATTAATAATAATATATTGCTATGCCCTCGAATTGCACCTTCTACTCTGATTCTCCAATAGATTGATCAAGCACTGGACAAACTTAGGCAGCAGAGTGGTGGCAAACTGTGAAAGCCAGAAAAAACTGTGGACCACTGAATCGCTCAGACAAAATACTCAGGATCAAGAAAGCCCAAATTTGGACAAGGCTGACTGAAACAAAGTCGAGAATGCCTCAGCAGCAGTCCCATCATCAGCCTTAATTTTGAGCTGCACCTTTGCTGATGCTGTGTTGACAATACATTCAACAAGGAAGAAAGCAGTAGCCCCATCTTTCTGAGCATAGAAAAAGAACTTGTAGTTCGGAGGCTGACCACCTGAAGCAATGCATTGGATGTAATTGCTTTGCATATGACGGATGAGTGATTGAGGATTCATCAATGATGCTGCTCCTTGTGGACTCAAAGAACATTCCTGTCAACGAAACACAGTACAGATCAGAATGGAAAAAACATAGCTCAGAACATAGGGCAGTTGATATCAGACATATTGGGAGATAAATTTCAAGGTAAGATACGCCCTAGACAACCATGGCACTCAGGGTTTAAATTCATTAGACCACTTCGCTAAATCATGACCCTGAATCAGGCGAAATCACTGTTCAGAGACCATGAATTGGAACAGATTTCTAGTTTCATACTCTCCGTCAGAAACAAATATATTAGACAACCGTAACAAAACAAAACAAACAAACAAACAAAAAAATCTCATTTAGTGGGCTACTTTGCAAAAACGGTAAGAAAATCGACCAAGATGTGAAAAGGCTATGTGGCGTATGTTGCTCTGCTTGTAATCAGAAAATGCATTGACAAAAACCTAATAGTAGGCATACCTGAGACAGCGCCAATGCTAGCTGGCCCCATTTCCTCTGGAACGTACCAGGATCTAGCACAGGCTTCGAGTTAAGGGTCAGTGCTGGTGGTGGTGGAGCAGGAGCTTCAGTAACGCCAAGGCCAAGAAGGTCATCGAGACTGAAGTTTGATTGTGAGGAATATGTCGGCCCACCAGTATTTATTAGTGAAGTTTCAGCTGGTGTTTGAGAGCTTATCAAAGAAGGGCTAATCAAATCGGAAGGAGCATTGTATGTAGAGGTGGAAGAACCATTGCTGGCTCTTGTACCATTGTCCTCTTTATCTGAAGTACTTAGCAAAAGATCATTATCATTTTCTTGATATCTTTGGGCAGAAATTACATTTTCTGGATCATCTGCCCCAACAGTCAAGCTTGTAAGATCCTCTGAGTACTCAAATGGTCCACGATGCTCCTTATCTGTAAACATGTATGATGGCTGCCAAATACATAGATGTTAGTACCTTTTATGCAAACTTTGAATAGCTGCCTTGCTATGAACACATGCTACTGTCAGCTCCACATTTGTAAATTGCATTAAGTGCACATCAAAGAAATGTGGAAAAAAATTACTCCAGCCATAAAAGGAATGTGTTTTACTGTTTTTGCATGACAGAATATCGCCACACGATACCAATACATAGCAAAGGCATGAACTCTATTTGAGTCGCTTAATTCAATTTACCTCAAGCAAGGGTCTGCAGAAGTGCTTATCATGGGCCTACAACTGCCTTTACAGTTGAAGACAGCACTTAATCTCTTGTATGATGTATTAGCTAAAATACAATGTTACCAACCTTCCATACAGTTCTTTCATTCAAAATCATCATCTTTTTTTAGGAAAACCAAAGACAATATATCATGGAACTTACTAAAGAATTCATAATCTGCCAGGAGGCAAGTTGAGAGTGCTCGAAATCAACCACCCATTTAACAAAATCATTGAGAACAATACAGATCTATAGTTAACCAAAATCCACAAGCCAATTAGTATTCAGCAAAGCCCTACATTTAAATCTCTCCCCCTACCAGTTATTGGAGTTAGTCAAAAGTAAATAAATAATCTATTATAGAACTGAACTATTTGTTGCTATGTCAAAACATTAATTAAAGTACAGTCATCACTGAAAGGGAAGGCAACTTGAAAGCAAAGGGTACTAAAGTAAAAGTTGCACCGTGATGGCCAATGAATTTAAAAGTGGAAATCACAAGGCCCATTAGCATAATTTATGGGTGCGTTTGGTTGCTTGCATCCCTCCTAGACTGCATTAGGCCCAATGCAGGATACCCTAAACCAGCATAAACTAACGCAGAGTGCTGGTGTTCAGTTGATTCCATAGAACATTTTGCACTGTGCAAGATCGTGTTTGATTGCCTGCATTTTATTGCATATAGGGGCTGTTTGCTTCGTGGCCTCCCAGGCGAGCAGCTGGCCCCAGGCGCCCGAAATTGGACGCCTGGGAGCTGCGCTCGTGCCAGGCAGCTTTGCCTGGGTGCAAAGCAAACAGGCCCATAGTCTCCTTATTTTCATGGTACGAGTAAAATCTGTTACCTCCGTCCCACCTCCAGTCCCTCAAGACCAAACAAGAAGACCATTGCCGCCTCCTCACACACGCAATGGCAATTTCCAAACCAAGGACCCCAAATAAACAGAAAGAAAAGACTCATGCTCAACGAGTTCTAGAGCACACCAGGCAAGAACCAGACCAAGGAGATAACAAATCAGGCCAAGAACACACTCAAGTATGTCAAGCTTGATGTCATTTCGTTGCCAAGCCTGCCACGCAGGCACAACAGCAGTAGAGCGTCAGGGACCCCAACCCTCATGTTCACTGGCATCAATGAGATCTATGAGCTGAGTAGCAAGCTCTGGTCAGCTGTGCAGGGCAAGGAACGGAGCAGGAAGGTGGCTGACGAGCTTGGCATGAACACGGAGGTGAAGGTGAAGGCCTGGATCTCTGATGCAGAGGCCGAGCTGACTGCCAACACCAAAGTCAAGTGGGTCAGGGGGGCTTCTGTACGGCACCGAGACAGAAGTGTGGCTAGTGCCGTGGTGGTGGCCAGCATCCCTCGAGATTCCAACGGGACCTCTGGCGCTCAAGATCCCAGTGACGCCTCACCGCATCACCTTATCTAGGCCTTCTAGGGAGATGATATCTCCCACCTCACCGATGGTACAAGAAGCGCAAAACTGGCAGGGCAACAGTGGCGGTGTGCTTGGTAGCAGCACAACAGCCTGCATCTCGTGCAAACTGGGGCTCAGGAGGTAGGGAGGTGAGGGTCCAATTCCATGGGCCCCCTAGCTTATGCAAGCCTGCACTCCACAGCCTCGCCAAATTTTGCGTACTAGGCAATGCAGCCTCTAGGCCCCATTTTGTATTGTTTAATGCTGCATTAGTCCCAATGCAGCCATCGAAACACGAGAACTATGCATACACCCATATGCGGGCAACCAAACACACCCTATATGATAATCAGAATCATATAAAATAGCAAGTAAAGGTCTCCAATATGTAAAATTTTTAGCAATAGTTCAGATCAGATTAATTTACATACCTTCTGATATACAACTGATAGACTGTTGAACTCATCAAATATCCGATCTTTGATTTCACTGCTCTGTGTATCTGCAAATACAGAGACAGCTTGTTTGGGAGGGTTTACTACACGTTCTGCTACATTAGGATTGTATTGCAAAAGCCTATAGTAGAAAAGCGCTCTGTCATGAACATCCTGCAACAGATGTGAGGTTTAGCCAGATCAAAATCTTTTCACTAGTGGTGATGCATAATCCATC